GGGGGGGGGGGGGGGGGGGGGGGGGGGGGGAGAGTCCAGACTCTTGCCACAAATATGTCTATGGGATACTCCAACACGGCGACATCGTTCAAATCATATAATAAATACGCAAACATAATTAAGATGTTCATCTGTGTGGATATTTCAACAATGGAAGAAATGTGTTGACACATTTCATCACTGCATGCTTTTGTCGGTAATAACAAGGCATTGCGAGTGGAATTCTACCAAGATTCTTGAGGTTACTCATTCTTACCTGACCATATATGTGTCATCTATATAACAAATTAACTGATATATTATGTTTTTTAAGATATACCAAAAATATTCTAACGTTTTCGGACACAGGTTGTTGTTTCCTCTCCGTGAAGAAGATGCCGGATATGACGTCAATCATTCTAAAAACAAATTATAAAATGGTCGCATTCGTGTGTTCCGGCTGAACTGGTCCGGGTGGCATAGAAACAGTACCGCATTTGGTCCGAATGTGTAGGCAGAGCTAAAAATGCACAGTTTCGGAGTCGGACTTTGCGTGATGTGAGCAATTCAACTATTCACAGGTGCATTTAAAATCCATTCTATACAGTTAAAAACTAAATGCACTATGGTGCACTATCGTAGATGGGTGGTGGTCAGCCTCCTCGTAAAGATATATATCAAGTGAGGGGCTGTCTGCGACTTGCTGGTGGTAACATAAAGTGTTCCACAGCCTGATGGTGTCTGGAAAAAATCAATGTTGGTAAATAAGTGTCATAGTGAATGGTATGAGGAATCGAAGGTATACATTATATAACAATAAAGAAATATTGCACACTAGCAACAGGCAGCATTTTTCGTTTTGGTCAGGGCAGGTCTGGACCCCTTGAAAATATGAGACTGTCGTTTTCTTTTCAGATTTAGGCCGAACTGGTTGAAACGGTTGAACCGGATACGCGCGCGAAAGGGTCGTATGACGCGGTCATGAAAGAGAGCGGGCATGCTTTCAAGATTTTAATGGCAGTAGAAAATATTTCGGTAATTGTGAAATCATGACTAATTTTTTTTCTTTATCTTTCATTTTCCACATGTTGTTCTCCAAGCGTTTAATTTTAGAACATGTTTTGAAATTAAAAAGAGAACGTAACTAAATTATCCTTTTCCTAGTACCGATGTCTAAAATTAACGGAACAGTTTCAAATAACTTGAACATGTAGACAAGAAATGAAACAAAATACACAAATTTGAGACGATGGTTACCATCTCAAATTTAATGAGCCGAAAATACATTTTTACAATTTGATCGCTTTATATATGAATGTATATATGGAAAATATATATAATTTGGGGACAAAAACTTGAGCCATGAATGCCGAAATGTCGACGAACCAGTCGATAGGAACGAAGAAAAGATGTTCAAGATTCTGAGACACTTGAAAAGCACACAAGGAGAATAAGGTAAAAATAGGTGTCTTCTGCAGCCACAACCATCATGTAAAGCCGGTAAAATCCTCAATCAGATCACTCGTGAACGCTCTCAAAGTGAGAGTGAGGCGTGAGTGTAGCGACAGAAAGGCACAGTATTATATAAGTATTATAACCAAAATCGCCAATATTCATATATAATAAGGAAATGATTTATTTTCCCATTAAATAATCATGACGACAATGAAACTTGTCTGAAGTCTTCATTATTATCAACATACTAGTAATTGTAAGTTTATCTGTCAGCTTACGGAGTACCCGAAAAAAACCACCACGTGGTCGGGCAGGTGACCCCATACCTTTTCACGTCCGATCGGGGGATCGAACCCCGACCGCCTTGGTGAAAGACAGGTGCGCTATCCACTGTACCACCCGTACATCTATCCCGGAAATAGAGTATATTTATGGGGGGTTTTATGGGTAATTTTCATGAGTGGGGTATATATATATAAATACAAAATGAGAGTCAACCCACATATTAAAGCTGTTATTCATCCTGAAGCCAAGAACATTATATCTAGTTGTTACGTTTTCTTCATTAGACATGGACTCCCATGAACAGCTATATAATCCATTTCCCGCCAAAATATGCCACCATAAGAATGCTTTACAGTTGCGACATCACAATCATTTTTGCTTCAGTAACGACACTTTTGACAATTCCCATTGTTTGCTATTGTTGGCACAAACCTTTTTTTCATTCATTACGTGAAGTAATTATAATATAATATAAAATTATATGATCTAACATCATCGGAACGTCGTTCCGGTGATCTCGAATCAGCACTAGTTGAGGGGGGAACCGAGAAGAAACAATGGTTTAATTTTCGAATGAGCTATTACCCATACGACTCTGCAAAGAGAGAGAGTTTTGAACAGTGTAACCTAGACTAGTGTAGATGTGAACTTCCAGTCATCTTGACTTCACGGAGGATATTTCATCTCTGCCTTTGTGATTTAAAACATTATCCAATACGTATTATTTTAAATCTCCCTATGTTTATACCAAGTAAAAGCCTTTTTGAGGAAAATAATACTCTGCCATTCACAATCAGAGTAAAATACCACACATGTATGATTAGACTACAAATCTTTAAATGATATGGCACCTGATTACATTAAAGCTGGTCTAAATAGGTGTACTGACACGTATAGATATGGATTAAGATCTACATCTCAACAAAATCTTGCCAAGACCAAATTCTGTATTATTCAAAAAGTCATTTACTTACACTGGAGCAATGTGGTGGAATAATTTACCGGTCAATATTAAAAATACGACCACAGTTTGTTCTTTCAAGAAACACCTTAGGCAGCATCTGCTATCTCTATATTTAAATGAGTAATGTTATTCACATAGGTAACTGTCAAAATTTACAAAGTTTCTGTGAACGTATTGTAACCTTGTACTTTGATGTAAATTTTTGTACATATACATATGCTCAATTATATTAAAACTGTATTCCTCAGGGAAAGAATGCTGTGTGTACGAATGAGCAAAGAGTTTATGTGTCAAATAGTTTGTTTACTGTTTTTATCTGTATAATAATTTGATATTATTCACGATACGTTCGTTCAGATATAGACAATGGTACATGTTTCGTTTATCTAGTCAGCAGGTTAGTCTGATTACCAAATATTCATAAACAATAGTAGCGTTCAGTAATCTTACATAATGTTTATTTGTTGTCCATGATTTTGTAGTTAGCATAATAATCTGTTTTAATGTCAGTTAACATGTTTGTATGATGTTTGAGGGGGCCATATGGAAGATTAGTCTTGTACTAAATATGTAACCCTTCTTAAATAAAGATATTATTGTTATTATTATACCCGGAATCTCTGTTTTCCAGACAGTTATATACATGCCTATCGTGGACTTCCGGTGTAAACTGAGAAATGCAAAGAGAAAATGAGGTATATATTTTGCTGGCTGAGACGGATTTTGATTGGTAAATAAGCTATTCGCAAGCATGTTTATGGGTCCATTTTATTTGTATCTTCCGCACTGTGCTACAAACATAGAACGATAGAAGCAGTTTGGTATAATCAGCTGATAATCGTGCATGAAGACACAAGGGCATGGATCGCTTGAAAAATAGGAGTCTCATATATACTATTTGTTAGTGTAGGAGACCCCTATTTTTTAATAGGCACTTTTTAATTTTTTAATATTATAAGCACGGAATTAGATAAGTCTATTTATCTAAGTCCGTGTTGTGAGTAAAGCGATACATGCCCTTGTGATCGAAGAATGACTCACTAGGTAGCCCTGTCAATAATAGTAACGTTGCTTAAAAATATCAGGTCGGGGAAAACCACTAACTTGTGTATACTACGCAAACTCGCCTATTATACGCCAATAGGGGTATGGATTTGTTACTAAAAATAGCCAAAATCACTTTAATCTGAACCTTTTCATTTTTTTTGTCAAAATCCTATTTATTCAGTCATGAAAAATAAAACAAATGCAAAAATAAACTTTATTTGCGTATATGGAAAAGTACCAAAAATAGATGCAATACTTCCGGTAAAGTTACATCAAGTTTCTAAGTAGCCAACGCTTTCAGTAAACATCTTTTAGCAAAATATTATTTTCCTTGTTAATTAATGCGATTTTTAATAATATCTTGCAAAAGTTACTGTAAAAGCGATTTGGGTTATTTTTAGTAACAAATCCATACTCCAACTGGCGTATAATAGACGAGTTTGCATATTATACGCAAGTTGGTGGTTTTCCCCAACTGTATATTATGCTCGGTGTAACGACAGACGAGTCTAGTGTCTGTTGTATAAACATCAGGGAAACTGTTTATTGAAAATATTGATGTTTTTGTCTGAAAGGTTATGTAGGATAATGAACTCGGCAAGGAAATAATAAAATATACAGAGTGGCGACATGTATATCACAATTAACTAATCATGAAGCTAAACCAGCTTTGGGCATGATAAGAGTTTTGTCACTGGAGTGATTACGCCTAAACCTGTTTGTACAGTTTATACAGGTAAGATCATACAAGTTTTGCAGGTTATATAAACCTTCAATTACAAACTAAGATGTAGCCTTGTTGGCTAATTGTACCTACATTGTAGTGTGTCCCATAGAATTATGTCATAATTGTGGAAAAATGAAGCTGTTCGTACTTATATAATTAACAAGATGGATTTCCAGCGACCAGGTACACAAGTGGAACCGGGTAATTTCGCCCTAAATCCTGATGCACTATGGGTCCTTTTGCCCTAAATCCAGTTCGTCCAAGGTTATTTCACCCTAATAGAAATACATATTATAAGTTATAAATATCAGTTGAAATGATTTAAATCATTAAGAACACTTCTTTTTTCGTGTATCACAAACAACTGTGCTGTCAAGAAAATTTCATGCTGGTGGATGTGCAAATCTGATTTTAAGTTTGGTCGACAAATCTAACAAGTCTAATGACTAAAAAGGCTAAGGGAGACTATGAAAACCTTCAAATGAGACCGTATTAGCCATACACATCAAAACAGGAGTAAAACAGCTTCACCCTAAAAGTATTTATAGGGCGAAACAACATAGTGCGAAACGACCCTAGGGCAAAACAACCCGACACCTGTGCAAGTGGGAAGTGGGGTTCATGATAAAATCCTAGTCTGTCTCTGTGACTCAATTTTGCATATGCTATTGCAGCAGTGCCTATGTCTTTTTCCTTTAATCTTTGTGTACTTGATAGGGGGATATTCGGACTGTGGTTATGATTAAAACAGGTGTTTTTGGGGAAAGGATTTATAGGGAAAAGGAGTGTATCATTTTTATACGACCGTCAAATTTGACGGTAGTATTATGGTATGGCGTTATCGGTCCGTCCGTTTGGCGTAAACTTTATTTGTCCGGCAATCTCCTCCTTCATTTTTCAACCGATCTATTTGAAACTTGGTATACATTATAATCATGATATGAAGTTGTGTCTCCCTTAAAAGAATTTTGATTCAACGATTTTTGCAAAATTTATTGCCTTTTGTTCATTTAAGTATTTGATTTTTGTCCGAAGATTTTCTCTTACATTTTAAAAGCATATATCAGCTAACCACTCTTAGAATGATGCAGATCTTATTTCAATGTAAAAAAGTATATAACACTATAAGGCATTCGACAGGCGTATTTTGTTCCGCTCCGCGGTACTCTTGTTTTTGTATTTGTCAGAAGTGACTTTTTAAATGGGGTGTCGGATACCTTGATTCCAATACTTCCTTTAAATTCTAGTCCTAGAAACAAGTAGTAACTATTGGTCAATTGGCCCAGTTCCACTACCACTACATGCATCTTCGCTAACCAAGTGTTCGCTTCGTATACACTCCCCGAAGTGAATATGAAGTGAACACTTGGCTAGCGAAGATGACTACATGTGACTCTTCACTCCTTTTTATACGACAGTCGTATAAAAAGGAGTGAAGAGTCGCATGTAGTCATCTTCATTTCAACGGATCTCTTTGAAACTTGGTATAATTTATAATCATGATATGAAGTTGTCTCCCTTAAAAGAATTTTGATTCAACGATTTTTGCAAAATTTCCGTCGGTCCGTCAACTTTTCCTTTAAACCTTTCACCACTGTAGACCATAATGGACTCATCCAGATCAATGCATGGTAGAGTCTACTAAAGTAACATAGGGCTGAAAGGGTTAAAACGCTATTTGTCCCAGTAGATTTTGACCAAATTTGGTCAGGAGCATCTTTGGGGGAAGGGGAACATATTTTGTATAAATGGTGTGTGGCCCCCATGGGGGCTGAGGTGCGGGGCCCAATAGGGGAAATATAGTAAATTCTTTGAAATCCTTCTTCTCCTGTAGGAATGAAAGGATTTGTTCCATATTAAGTCTGAATCATCCTAGGGTGAAGGGGAACCAATTTTGTTTAAACCGTTGGTCTCGCCCCCCTGGGGCCTGGGGGGCGCAGCCCAATAGGAGAATCATAGCATTTTTTTTTAAATCCTCCTCATTCTGTAGGAATGAAAGGATTTGGTCTGAAGCATTCTTGGGTGAAGGGGAACCAATTTTGTATAAATGGTGGGTATGGCCCCCCTGGGGGCTGAGCGGCTGGGCCCAATAGGGAAAATATAGCAAATTCTGTAAAATCCATCTCCTTCTGTAGGAATGAAAGGATTTGTTCCATATTTGGTTAGAAGCATCTTTGGGGGAAGAGAAACCATTTTTGTATAAACCGTTGGTCTGGCTCCCCCAGGGGCCTGAGGTGAGAGACCCAATAGGGGAAACATAGCAAATTATTCTTTAAAAGCCTTTGGTCCATATTTTGTGTGGAGTATCCCTGGGTAAAGGGAAACAAATTTTGTATAAACGGTGGGTGTGGCCCCCCTCGGACCTGAGGGGCGGGCCCAATAGGGGAAATAGAGGTAAAACTTTTAAAATCCTTCTTCAACCATCGGGATTAAGGGATTTTATCCTAATTTGGTTTAGAGGATCCTATGGCCAAGGGGACACAATTTTGTATAAGCAGTGGGTGTGGTCTCCAAGGGGGCAGAAGGACGGGGCACAATAGGGGAAATAGAGGTAAATCTTTTAAATCCTTCTTCTACCATAGGGATGAAGGGATTTCTTCCAAATTTGGTCTGGAGGATCTTGGGCAAAAGGGACTCAATTTTGTATAAACAGAGAGTGTGCCCCCCTCCCTGGGACAGAATTGGCGGGGCCCAATAGGGGAATTCGAGGTAAAACCTTTAAAATCCTTCTTTTACCATAGGGATAAAGGGATTTTATCCTAATTTAGCCTGGAGCATCCTTTGGCCAAGGGGACTCAATTTTGTATAAGCAGTGGGTGTGGTCTCCCAGGGGGCAGAAGGGTGGGGCCCAGTAGGAGAAATAGAGGTAAAACCTTTAAAATCCTTCTTCGACCATCAGGTTTAAAGGATTTTATCCTTATTTAGTCTGGAGCATCCTTGGGCCATGGGACTTATTTTTGTATAAACAGTGGGTATGACCTCCCTAGGGGCATAGGGGTGGGGCTCTGTTTGAAGTTTGTTCTCGCTATATCTCAAGTACTGGATGGTTCTTTCTGAAGATTCATATGTTCTTACCTGCCATTGAGTGCTATATCTTTATTTCCTACCAATTATTTTAAACACATTCAGGTGAGCGATACAGGCCCTCTGGGCTTCTTGTTTATAGCATATCAGCTAACCACTCTTAGAATGATGCAGATCTGATTTCATTGTAAGAAAGTATATTTATTGCATTTGACGGGCGTATTTTGTTCCGCCCATGGTACTCTTGTTCTAAATCCTTTCCAAAAAACAAATTCATGTATTTCATTGTACATGGTATTAATAACATTCATCAATTTTGAAATAGGTATACATGTACAATGTATCAAGATTGTCATACAATGTATCTATAACTGTAAGTTTTTAAGGTCTATTTTCTCTGTTTCAGATATAGATCAAATGATGATCTCAAGAAAATATTCTACCTAGGAAATCAAATCAAGTTTTCTTTTCTTTTGGATCCACCTTGCTGTGAAGAGGTGAGGATCATTGAAAAAGAAGTTGTAAGAAAAAAACTTAACCTGTCAAACTTATTTGTTTGTGAGAACATATGCTAAATCATAAAGGAAAATAAATTGTCATATATATCCAATCAAGTAAATTAATAAGTAATAAGATAGAACCTTGTTCTGGATGTGTCCAGTAGATACACATGTAATTCAACACATGCAGATGCAGTATCTGTTGTTAGCATTTCAAGAATGGAAAAATCTTATCCATATACAGAAGATCTGAAGAGTGAAGGAGTTGAAAAAGAAACAAGTTTTGAAGAAAATAGTCTTCACTGCTGTGATGTCTGCGGTAAGGGTTTTACGCTGGCACATGCACTAAAACGTCACCACATGACACATACAGGAGATAAACCATACAAGTGTGATGTTTGTGGTAAGGCGTTTAGTCAAGTGGGTAGCCTAAATAGACACAACAAGATTCATAAAGGAGAAAAACCACACAAGTGTGATGTCTGTGATAAAAGTTTTTTTCAGACATGTGACTTACAGAGACACATTAGAACACACACTGGAGAAAAGCCATACAAGTGTAATATCTGTGGTACAGGTTTTAATGTCATCACCTGCCTAAAGTCACACTACCGGATACACACAGGAGAGAAGCCATACAAGTGTGATACCTGTGGTAAGAACTTTGCAAAAGTATGTACACTTCAGACACACCAAAGGATACATACAGGAGAAAAGCCATACAAATGTGATGTCTGTGGTAAAAGATTTAATCAGGCAGGTAGTTTAAAGATACATTACATGTCTCACACAGGAGAAAAGCCATACAAATGTGATGTCTGTGGAAAAGTAGTTAGTACAACAGGCAGTATGAAAAAACACCTTCTGATGCATACAGGAGAGACACCATACACGTGTGATGTCTGTGGTAAGGGGTTTATACAGAAATGTAACCTGAAGATGCACTCTATGATTCATACTGGAGAAAAGCCTCACAAGTGTGATATCTGTGGGAAGGGGTTTATTCAGATAGCTAACCTACATGCACACCAAGCTGTACATACAGGAGAGAGACAATATGAGTGTAGTGTTTGTGGGAAGATGATCAAGACATTAAGAAACTTTAGGACACACCTCAAATTGCATACAGGAGAGAAGCCGTACAGTTGTGACGACTGTGGTAAGGGGTTTGATCAGGCCAGTGACCTACAGAAACACATCAGGACATGTACCAGCACGGGAAAGAAGCCATACAAATGTGATGTCTGTTGTAAAGGCTTTATAAAGAAATCTAACTTGCGTGTACACCAAATGGTACATACAAAAGATAAGCAATAAGATTGCGATATTTATCAAACTTAACGAGAAACTCTAACACATCCCAGTAAACACACAGTGTGGCATTGTGAAAATATTGTGACTCCTCAGACAAAGAGTAAATACATATGTGATCGACATAGTTCCAGATAAATGCCACTAAAGTGTATTGTTGGTGTTAAGAATTTTTCCAGAGTGAAGACCATGGCATCACTGGCACGGTGACAGTGCAGGATACAACAGACAGTATAAAGAAACAGCTAAAATCTTAAATTCTAAATCATAAATCAGTGTTTTGTGTGTATATGATTTTGAAAACTAATAAATGTAGAAAATCTAAATCTACATTTCTGTTCTGTGTATGAATGTCTTCATTATGTGTTCTTAGTCCAGCAAGTGCCTGTAAGCCTATGGCCCGACTTCTGTTGTCTATTGTCCACTTCTACACTGTGTGATGGCCCAAGTGCCTGTAAACCTATATGGCCCGACTTCCGTCGTCTATTGTCCACTTCTACACTGTGTGATAGCCCCAGTGCCTGTTAGCCTTTGGCCCTACTTCTGTCATCTATTGTCCATTTCTACACTGTGTGATGGCCCAAGTGCCTGTAAGCCTATATGGCCCGACTTCTGTCGTCTATTGTCCACTTCTACACTGTGTGATGGCCCCAGTGCCTGTAAGCCTTTGGCCCTACTTCTGTCATCTATTGTCCATTTCTACAAAGTGTGATGGCCCCAGTGCCTGTAAGCCTATTGCCTGACTTCTGTCATCTATTGTCCATTTCTACACTGTGTGATGGCCCCAGTGCCTGTAAGCCTTTGGCCCTACTTCTGTCATCTATTGTCCATTTCTACAATGTGTGATGGCCCCAGTGCCTGTAAGCCTATTGCCTGACTTCTGTTGTCTAATGTCCATTTCTACACTGTGTGATGGCCCCAGTGCCTGTAAGCCTATGGCCCGACTTCTGCCGTCTTTTGTCCATTTCTACAATGTGTGATGGCCCCAGTGCATGTAAGCCTATGGCCCTACTTCTGTCGTCTAATGTCCATTTCTACACAGTGTGATGGCCCCAGTGCATGTATGCCTATGGCCCGGCTTCTGTCATCTATTGTCCACTTTTACACTGTGTGAGGGCCCCAGTGCCTGTCAGCCTATTGCCTGACTTATGTTGTCTATTGTCCATTTCTACACTGTGTGATGGCCCCAGTGCCTGTATGCCTATGGCCCGACTTCTGTCATCTATTGTCCACTTCTACACTGTGTGATGGCCCCAGTGCCTGTAAGCCTATGGCCCGCCTTCTGTCATCTATTGTCCATTTCTACACTGTGTGATGGCCCCAGTGCCATTTAAGCCTATGGCCTGACTTCTGTCATCTATTGTTCATTTCTACACTGTGTGATGGCCCCAGTGCCATTTAAGCCTATGGCCTGACTTCTGTCATCTATTGTTCATTTCTACACTGTGTGATGGCCCTAAGTCATCTCTCATTAATGCTTTTGATTTGTTTAAATGGCTTTTTCTTTATATAACATGGAGTTTCAGCATACTGATATTTGACCTGTTAAGCATGCTGTGAGAAAGAGATACCAAGTTTTTTCAAATGAATGAAATTTACCAAATGTCAAGGTCACAGGTCACCATATATATATATATTATATTATATTGAAGTAGTTTCTTTCCTCATATATATATATATACAAGGGGCAAAGAAGTAATTCCAACAGTGTGGACAAGTTTAGGTTGTCAAATTTTCCATTTGATCCAGTGTTATATGGGATTATACTGTATGTTACCTCTTTGACCCATATATATATATATATATATACATGTATATGTGTGAAACTCTTGAAATTAAACCTGAATTTCTAAGAGGCCTAATTTCCTGACATTTTGCCAACCCTGTGCTGGATGAAAGACTATAAAGTTTCCATGGATCATAGGTGTTAAAACTCAGGGCTAGCTCTGGGTCTTGTTTCAGTTTCGCCAAATTTTAATTTGTGCACAAGAAATCAATAATTGAAATGAATTATATTTTCTATGTTTTATGACCCAAAAAATACTTTGGAACCATTTCTGTATACAAATAGCAGAGTCCTAATGTCAACACTTTTAGCCTGTAATGATCGGCAATGTTTTTTTGTGGATGAATGACCTTAACTTATTTTCAAGGTATCAAGTGTGTTTAAATTTGGTCATATACTTTTGAAATGAGCCAGGCACTGGGGGATATGATATTTGGCCTGTAACATGCTGAGGTAAATGATTATTAACTTTGTTTAAATGAATGACATCCACAAGCTTTCAAGCTCAATGTTGTTAACTATGTTAAAATTTTCAATCAACTTTTTCTGAACAAACATGAAATCTAAGATCATGATATATTGCCAGTAAGTAGAATGCTGGGGTGAAGCTTGTTCAAATGAACGACCAAGCGCATTGTCGTTATGTTCAAATGAACGACCAAGCCCATTGTCGTTTAAGCAGGTGTAATGTGTTTATCATGATGACAATAATCCATGTACCACGTTGACAAACTATCATTATATATATATATATAACACATATTATTGTAGCCAGAGTTTCCTCTGGCCCTGACACCAGACTTGGACATTTTGACAGGTAGATGTCTGGTCGAGTTTCCTTAGGCCCTGACACCAGACATGGACATTTTGACAGGTAGATGTCTGGTCGAGTTTCCTCAGGCCCTGACACCAGACTTGGACATTTTGACAGGTAGATGTCTGGTCAGTTTCCTCTGGCCCTGACACCAGACTTGGACATTTTGACAGATCTACCACCAGACATCTATCTTTCAAAATGTCCAAGTCTGGTGTCAGGGCTAGAGGAAACTCAGGCTAGTATAATGCACCTCAAGTTTTCAAAAGCATGGCCTATAAAGGTTGTAAACATAAAGATAAAAAAACTAACAAACATAGGTCAGTGTCAATTTCAAGTTCACCATAATATTATATACAATATTTGCAAAAAAATGTAGAAAAGTCTATTTTTGTTTCTCAATTTTGAAACCCAAAATCTAGCATTTAAGGACAGGTAATTTTGTTGACTAAAAAAATGTGGCACCACCAACCATATATATAAACTACCAATATGTTAAGTACAACAGATTATGACGTCTGGCCCATGTTGATTGGTCGATTGGTTAAGGAGATAAAAAAACAAAAACACGTCGAGTGCAATAAAGCAGTGATTTTTTGCTAATCCAAAATTAAAACCCGGTCTTTGGTTTACAGTTTACTCTTTCAAAGGTATTTGCAGCGTACGTGTAATCTCCTAACAGTTCTGCTATAAATATATGTTATCGTAAAGAACGACTAATATAAGACTTCTTCCAGAATCGAAAAGTCTTTTAAATAACAGACACATAAAGAAATAAGAATTGATTTGCAACACCCCAGACCTGTTTCTCCACGGACTTCATCTAATTCCGTGGTTTCTCTCTTTTCTCGATCGCTGTATGTCCACACGCTGTCTTTTTGGGGGTGTCTCCGTAACTACCACAGGGACTTGATAATTTGTTACAGCTATATTTGGACCTAAACTAGTTCAGAGTAATTTTACATATTTTAGGGGTTTATTTCCATTTTCGATAAAAATGACACTGATCATTGGGTGTGTTATTTTTACCGGAAGTCTATCTAAACCCCTAAAGCATGTAACAATACTCTGAACACCTTAGTTTAGGTCCAAATACAGCTGTCACAAATTTTTAGGTCCCTGTGGTAAGCACCAGTCTTCATATGATCTTCATTAGCTGTTGCATTGGCGTAAAACCTCGATCACAACAAAAATAAAAAAACCAGAGCTACGATTTTCAATCCGATTGTGATGTTTGAATGTTGCTTGATATAAATTATACGTTGATGTTACGTACACCATTCATTACGCGACACATTCAAATCACAGATTCTCAAGAATATAATTTATATAAAGAAGTATGAGAAGATCGTGGGGTAAGGGATCATCCGGCCCCCCTCTTTCTGATATCAAAAAAGAATTAATAATACCAAAGACAATGAAATGGCACATCTTTAAATGTCCATAGGATGAGAAACAGTTACATATTGCCATTAATATCAAATTTATAGAATGTATTATTATGTAAAGAATAATTAAGATTTTAAAAAAAACATAATAACAGAAATGCAACCCTACCCCCAACACGCCACGCAATTTCGGGATACATTTTATCATGATTTAAGCAATATTCAGATAAGTTTAAGCAAGGACATCGCGTCTAGGTCACGGCTGTCACTTGAAACACCATTAACCAAGAAGGGCAAGGTCATCAGTTTGATCATGCTCATTCTGCGTTTGTATTCTACTAAAATTTTGGAATCTAGCAAATTTACTGATCTGTAATTTTTTGGTGTCATGTCAGTAAATGAGAACAAAATCATTTGTCTTTACTTAGGAATTGAAATAAACAAAAACAGTATCTTTAAAGCCGAATTCATTTTCTTTCAAAGATGTCTTGACACGTCTCTATTCCATACAGTATCTAGTTATTTTTAACATTTGAACATCGCTTAGATACAATTTTCTAATAGAACTTTGATCGTTACGATGTCACGATATCTGCTTTTTTCCCATATGTAGTACGAGACAGTAAATCACAATCGCAGTTAAATATGGGATAAGTCTTATAACCCGAGGAATCCCAATATTTTGTTACTGTACTGTAATAATAATACTTTATAAATTATTGATGCAAGTACTTTTAGTTCATCCTTTGAATGAGTTGCCTTGTCATCAGTTATCTAGTACAAATTGGTTTTATAGAAACAAGTACTTAGAACGTGTACTCAAAAGGTGACGGGCCTTTGTTAAATTGTTACCCGGGTCCCTTTTCCGTGACCTTTTATGAAATCTATGGTAACATTACTGAAAGAATTATTAATTTTACGTAGTGGTTTTTATAAGATACGACAAGTCCATCTCGGAATTAAACAAATAGCACTTGAATGATTCATCAAAGTTTTAAAATAACTCAACGGAAAGAACTAGAAAGATTGTAGTGGTTTTTTTTATATATATTATAAGGTGAAAATCTTAGATTCAAAATCATCCTCATTGACTTCAAGAAAAATTACCTGAAGATATACATGTACATGTGAAATAGACGGAAAGTGTTGATGAACTTTACTTTTGCACTGGACTATATGTCTAGTTTTCAGCTTATAATGCGTTTATTTTCTTTATTTCAGATATAAGGTGAGATTCTTTCGTAAAAGTTAATCTTTTTTCCTGGAACCCTTTTTTTATCAACTTTGCTGTGAAGAGGTCAGGATCGCAGAAAAAGATTCCCGAACATCAGAAAATCGAAAAGATTCATTCCAAAACTAGACTGCCATTGTTGAGTTTATGTTAAATCGTTAAAAGGGGAATAAATGATAATAAAACTCGGTATATCATATGGACGAACCCCGTCGGGATAACCGTGGAGTGTATGAATGTAATACAACATGTGCATTTGTGATGCAAGTCATTAGCGAGTATTGATCAATCTTCTGTACAGAAGACCATATTGAACAGTGAAGGAGTTCAAGGAAAATGTTTGAAATAGAATGTTGTTTCGAAGGAAATACGACCAATACAGTGGAAAAGCCATACGATTGTGATGTATGTGGTAAGGCGTTTAGTCAGGTGGGGTACCTAAATAAACACGCCAAGATACATACAGGCGAGAAGCCATACACGTGTGATGTCTGTGGAAGGAGGTTAGGTTCGTTAACCTGCCTGAAGTCACACTATCGGATACATACAGGAGAGAAACCATTCGTGTGCGGTTTTTGCAGTAAGAGCTTTTCGAGGGCATGTACACTACAGGCGCACCAACGGACACACACAGGCGAGAGGCCATACCAGTGTTCTGTCTGTGGTAAGGAGTTTAAAAGTACAAGCAATCTAAATATACACTACATGACACACACAGGTGAGAAGCCATACAAGTGCGATATCTGCGGAAAGGAGGCTACTACGAAAGACAAAATTAAGCAACATCTTTTGATGCATACAGGAGAGAAACCACACAAGTGTGATGTCTGTGGTAAGAGGTTTAATCAGGCAGGTAATTTAACAACGCACCTTAGAATACATACAGGAGATAAGCCATACTCTTGTGATGTCTGTGGTAAGGGTTTTTATCAAAAAGGTAATTTGCAGATGCACTTTATCACCCATACAGAAGAGAAGGCATTCTCGTGTGATATTTGTGGTAAGGACTTCAGTCACAAATGTAATCTAACGATGCACCTAAGGACACATACGGGAGAGAAACCATACAAGTGTGATATCTGCGGTAAGGTGTTTAGTAGGACACAAAACCTGCGGTCACACAATAGGACACACACAGGAGAGAAGCCTTACAAGTGTGAAGTTTGTGGTAAGGGTTTTATTCAGGGTGGTGACCTACGCAGACACCTCAGGACACATTCAGGAGAGAAACCTCACAAGTGTGATGTCTGTGGTAAGGCATTTATTACAAAACAGAATTTAAGTGTTCACCAAACGACACATGCAGAGAAGGACAATATGAGTGTGATGTTTTTGGAAAACTGATAAAGCCAACAAGACACGCCCCTTCTAATTAGACACACACGTATTACGGACTCCCGGAGGACGATGCCTGTAGCAACGACCTTGTTCAACTTAATCATTGTAGCTATTTTTAGGCATTGGATTATGTTGACTGTTTTAAGACATTGTTGGAGTATTTTGTCAAATACAGTGGCATTATAAACAACCCAGAACGTGATAAACTGTATTTTATCACACACATGTAATGTAGTTGTGTTATCCAGTTAATATATACCATTATATATATGTCACATTATTTTTATGTATTAACTTTGTAATATGATCTATCAGCCCTGTGATTGGTTGTAAGTTTCGATTGTTTTACTTGTGACGTCACGCCAAGGACAAGTACATGACTTACAGACTTGCGCACTTGAGTTAGAATGGCGGCTTTTTACATTTCAAGGTTGCATGAAAATTGTCGTTTTACACGAATAATTGCCACGAAAATTGAATATGTGATAAAATGGATCTTATACTCGTTTTCATTTCTTATGAAATTTATAAAACTCGTCACGAAGTTTTCATTTTAGCTCGCCAGAGGCTCGCTAAATTGAAAAATTCTTAGACTCGTTTCATAAATCTCATATGAAATGGAAACTCATGTAAGATCGTATATATATTTCAGTGTTTAAAAGTGTATATACGATTAATGGAAAATAAACATTCTAGATGTAGAATATCAAATATAATTTATATTTTGTATTAATTGAGTTTTCATCTTCAAAAACTGGCGATTAGTTTAAAAGTCTTAAGTTCACTTCATTTGCATTTTTGGCCTCCAATTTGTTCTGAGGAGATTTCTATATCCATTAAGTAACGTTTGCACCTGTCTTGCCTACCAAACATATACGTATAACTTATTATAGATAAAGTAGAGCATCCGATCATGAAGTCTACCGAAAATTATACTGCATGATATATATATATGGCAAATCATGCATCAAATTAAAGATCCTGTCGATCTAGACTGTTCCCGGCCTCATACTATGAACGGTTATGACAAAGTCGCATGTTTTCTGGAACTGGGTCATTTTACTAGGGAGACGGAGGTAGCAACCTTGATTATATTATGTGTATTGACAGACGAGGTTAGTACAGGTCTGTGCACGAAGTACCGTTTGTGAATGTGTGTCAACTATAGTTCTTCTGCCATCTGCTCAAAACAACGTTTTATCTTATAAAAAACATAAAGTCGTGTTGTTTGGCCAAATGCATGCTGGGATAAAGTGATGTGTGTTATCATTATTTTTGTAAATAAAGACCTTGTCCTAATTTAAGGATGAATTGTGTGTTCAAAATGATGTTCGTCTTCTGAATAACTAGACTAATAAAAAAGGCAGAGTCCTGAAGTTTTGCTTTTTGCATGCAGGGATGATTAGCTCTTACGTTTGTTCTAGTGTAGGAATTAAACTTCCTCAACATCACATGGTTCAAATGTGATGATTTACCCTTATTGAATTTCTCTTGAATAACAAATCAGTCTACGGTAGAGATAATTGCCAATTAGCATGGCAGGGTGAAGGATAAAGAGATGGTTGCCCATTAACATGGCAAGGTGAAGGGTAGAAAGAAAGTTGCCCATTTACATGGCAAGGTAAAGGGTAGAAAGATAATTGCCCATTTACATGGCAGGGTGAAGGGTAGAGAGATAGTTGCCCATTAACATGGCAGGGTGAAGGGTAGAGAGATAGTTGCCCATTAACATGGCAGGGTGAAGGGTAGAGAGATAGTTGCCCATTAACATGGCAGGGTGAAGGGTAGAGAGATAGTTGCCCATT